CGTTTGCAGACACGAACAAGTTAAGTCTACGATATTCTTTGGTTCCTTGCATCGCTTAAATCACCTGACTGATTCGAGTAATGCAAATAGGCATGCAGCACGCGTTAAATACGGCCTACCTCTATCTTGATTTACCGCGCTATGTTTGAAGTCTGATCGTATCCGCGAAGAATCCGTTTGACTCGACCGATCCTACTCGCGGCTCTTGGATCTGTTCTTACATCAGCATTCGCTGGCCGAATAGCGAAAAGACGCGTCGAGAATACAGGAAGTCCTCTGTTCGAGAGGCACGCCTCTGTCGAGATTACACATTGAGTGGAAGTCACGATCGTTCTACACCAGCTTAACCCACTGAACCTTCTTCGACCTCGCGAGCTCCTCTAGCTGCTTTTCATGTAAACCAGGGGGTCGGTAAACTTTTTCCGAGAATGGCACGGTAAATATTTCAGTCTTTGCCAAGGGTAAATGCTATGATAGTACATACGCTACTTATACCTGCAGGAAACATTATATTTATGTATATTCTATTTATATCGAATGTACTTTGTGTAAGTACGTAGATCGGTATATTAGATGCATTTCTCCTTATTAGATGCAATCTCCTTATAAAATTTTGCAGAAATTTATTGCCTGTTTCTTTCTTATTACTGTCTCGAAAATAGACTTAGAAACCATTTTTAGTAATTCTGGACAATAATACTGAACGACTGTAGTCTGTCGAGGCTTGACGTAACATATCGATAGAGTGCAAGTACAGTAAAGTCTCTATAAATGCATAAATTTCTCTACCATAAATGCACGGAAACCATTGTCACCACTGGAGTGGTATACCCCTTGGGGTGCCAAGGAATTCGATCGCCGAGTAGTCTATGTAACATGATCGTATATTCTCTGATGTTTGCCGACGAGCTTCGAAGGAAGAGAAGAACAGCGAATAATGAAGAGCACGGAGCGAAAACACCAAAGTATGTCGGTGAGACAATTTAAGGCCAGGTTACACCAATAAAACGTGTTTTTTTTTTTTAAATAAATTTTGTTTATAATAAAAAAAATATTTCAGAATCAAACTTCTTACAGCTGAAAGTACATATATTAAACTATTCTTTTTTTTTTTTTTTAAATGGCGGCTCTGAAATTGGCTGCTTAAACTCGTCCAATTTGTTGGCGGGTGTCATCATTTCTTGGAAACAAATCATCTGAAAGCAAAAAATAAAACGGTTTCATATTCTGTATCGAATTGGCTATGGACAGTATTACAATCAAACATTTTCACCGAAAAAAAAAAATGGCGGACTTCTGAATTTTTCGACCCTTTTTTTGCACTTTTAATTGCTTATAACTTTTTTAAATAACAATGAATATTTTTGCTTGTAGTTCCGACCATAGCTAATTCGATACAGAATATGAAACCGTTTTATTTTTTGCTTTCAGATGATTTGTTTCCAAGAAATGATGACACCCGCCAACAAATTGGACGAGTTTAAGCAGCCAATTTCAGAGCCGCCATTTAAAAAAAAAAAAGAAAAATAGTTTAATATATGTACTTTCAGCTGTAAGAAGTTTGATTCTGAAATATTTTTTTTACTATAAACAAAATTTATTTAAAGAAACACGTTTTATTGGTGTAACCTGGCCTTAATGCAACGGTGAAACCTTTTTATTATTAACTTTTATGTTGTAGAAATTTTACTATCACTTTTACTATCAATATATATACATATATATATTCCTGACATTTTTCTGTTGAAAATGAGATCCAACACGACGTAATTCGCAACATATTTACTTCTAACAACTTATTATGTATCATATATCAATAGACTGCGGATCTTTAAACAAAATAAAATCTTCGCGAACATGCCTACAAAAATTGAACTTAAATAGGAATTAATTTTATTCTGCTAATATTATAAGATGAACTTTACTTTCTATATTTTTTATATTGCATATTGGTTTCATTTTGTAGTTTCTTGCACATTGAAATTTCCTATAAATGCATCAAGATCCGCAGTCTATATATCATAGAACACTAACTAATAAAAGATGCATGGTAAATATCGTTCGAATTATATCGTGTTTGGTCTCATTTTAATTAGAAAAATGTCAGGAATATGATTGTAAAAGTTTTACAACGAAAAAGTTAATAATAACAAAAGTCTCACCGACTGAGCCTGGTGTTTTCGCTCCGTCTTCTTCTTTATTCGCTGTTCTTCTCTACGTTCGAAGCTCGTCGGCAAACGTCAGAAAATACAGGGTGTCCCAAAAATGTTGTAATATCTTGAAAGGGGTGGTTCGGGAGGTGATTTGAAACAACTTTTTCCTTAGCGAAAATGTTGTCCGAGGCTTTGTTGAGGAGATATTAACGGAAAACACTGACCAATCAGAGCGCTAGGCGGCCGCGCTCCCCGACCAATCAAAGCGCGAGTATGCCAATGGAACGCCCGCTGATTGGTCAGTGTTTTCCGTTAATATCTCCGCAACGGAGCCTCGGACAACATTTTCCCCAAGGAAAAAGTTGTTTCACATCACCTCCCGAACCAACCCTTTTAAAATGTTCCAACATTTTTGGGACACCCTGTATACGAAGTCTACGATAAACGTACAAGTTCAGTCCCGAGCTTGTTCATTTATCGAGACTTTACTGTAATGGCCTCGAAGTGTAACTTATTCAATTACAATGTTTAAATGTAATTCTCCTAAGTCTTACAATAATTTCCCAGGTCATTTCGTTTTTATAGCTCTTTGTGTCTACAGCGGGTAACCCAGTCAGTTTTGCCACAGTGATAAATGTGTGCTAGTGTGTTTCGTAGATAAATCAGCACTTATCTTCCGAGCAGAGTAACGCCTCCCACGCCTATGTAATTTCTCGCCTATGCACGGCGCTGTTGAACGTGTAAGGTTTAACCCTGTGTCTCCCTTATTGCACGTTTCGTGCACTGTAAGCGATGGGAAGATATTTCTGCTTGCACGGTCAACGTCCTTGTAACAGATATAAAGTTGCATAAACTTCAAAGTATATCTTACGCATGAGATAACGCCTTCTTGGTTCGCGTATCTCTCTTCACGCGTCAGGTTAACCCTTCGCGCTCTTAGAATAAAAGATGGGTACAGAATGTTTGAAAAAAGAATGAAAATTTGTATGCATTCGATAATTAAATACGCAAATAAAGTAAATCGTATCTATCCGTGTTTACGTGAATTTTAATTTTGTACAATTTGTTTCCCTCGTTACGGCGAATAAAGTCTTTAAATAAACAAAGGTAAAGGAAGTATGAATTGGTCTGAATAAATTCGTCAGAAGCACCGTGTAGTGTATTTGGATTCGGTAGCAAACCGTGAAGAGATTGCGAATCTTAATTCACTTAATTTTTGCCCATAGGAACGTTCAAAGAGTTTCGGACGCATTCAAGTTACGAATACCTCACGAGCATTGCGAAAAAAGGTCAGAAGGGGGAGAGAATAGGGAAAACCCACTCGTTTTACAAGGAAACGTTAACATCTGGTGGACAGGCCATTGAAAAGGGCACGTCCCGTCTTGGCCAAGCTCGTTTCGCAAGAATACTTCATTATTTATCCATATAGCGCATTGTGAGCGGCGCTTAAGCCATAAACCAGAATACTCGTTCCCTGCTGTCTCTGTTTCAATAGGGCTAAAAAGGTCAAGTATATTTTTACGACAATGTAGGAAGAACCGTTTCGTGCCCACAATGCGTCGTTTGCGTTTGTAGCATGCGCAAAAAAATGACAACCGTTCGTTAAGTTAGTCTCGATGTAGACGAAAAGGAAAAATTCTTTAAAATGGACTACTGATCCGCTTTAAAAAGTTTATCAATCCTTCTGGTTTGCATGGAGCTCATACCAAGACCTAGATTACTTTGTAAAGGACTCTCGTTTATTTTTTAAATATTACTACAGAATTTCATGGAAATAATCTTTTATATAAGAACACAATTAATGGGTAAACATTAGAGTATGTCATTTTAGAACAATATTGTATACAAACCAGTTCTAATTTACCAGGTATCATCTACCATCGGTATTTCAATCAGCATTTGACAAAACAATTGTTCTAAAATAACACGCTCTATTCAACATACAACAAAAAGAAAATAATAAAATTAATACGTCATAGAGGATCTACATATAATAGTATAATGGTTGTAAAGGACACAATTAATGTGCCAACATTGGAGCGTGTTATTTTAGAACAATATTATATACAAACCATCAATATTTTAATCAGCATTTCACACAAAAATTGTTCTAAAATAACACTCTATTCATCATACAACAAAAAGAAAATAATAAAATTAATACGTCATAGAGGATGTATAATGGTTAGACTGCGGATCTTTATGCAAAACAAAATCTTGATGAATGTTTCTACAAAAATTGAACCTAAATAGGAATTTATTTTATTCTGCAAATATTTTAACATGAACTTTACTTTCAATCTTTTTTATAGTCTTGCATGTTGCTTGCATTTTGTAGTTTCTTGCACATTCAAATTTCCTATGATATCTACAGGAAGTTTTATTTGGGTTCTGATGTTTTCACCAATTGAACATTCTAGCAAAATATGTTTAATGGATAGTTCTAAATTACAATTTTCACAATGTTTAAAGGAAAGAACCTGTAAAAGGAATAATAACTTATCTTGAGAAAATCAAAATAATTAAAGATATTTAGTATGTAATTAGTCTTAGGTAGTTTAAAATTGTTAGACAGAAGAAAACCAAGTGATGTATGTGAAATACAATGCAATAAGACACAAAATATAACAATGTATTGCAATGTGGTCGCTAATGGCTAAAAAGCTGATGCGACATTAAATAAATAAATCAAAAAGAAAAAAAGAATTCCTATAAATGCATAAATATCCGCAGTCTAATAATGGTATACGTACAACCCCTTTGCAGTTTTAAGTTTTCTGATTTCGATACACTTTTGTCGAGTCGCAATTGCATTTTATCTACAAGCATAAACGTTGTATTTTTCAGGCGGTGGGTTTAGCAGGAGTGGTCCTGGCTGCGTGGCTGCTAACGGATCAGACGTTCCTGATGTCCCTCGCCCAGGAACAGCACAACTTCTACAATGGCCTCTACATCCTGCTGGCCGCTGGGATCCTCATGTTGATAGTCGCCTTTCTGGGTTGTTGCGGCGCCTTCCGTGAATCTCAATGCATGCTGGTTGCTTTCTTCAGTTGCCTCCTCGTGGTTATCGTCGCGCAGATCGCGGCTGGGGCATGGCTCCACTACAACAGCAATAGCCTCGAGGGCCTGGTCAAGTCTTCCGTGATAAATACCGTTAAGGTATCGCCGATTACACGATTCTATCGCTGCCCAAACACTCGTCCCGCGTCCGGCATTGTTTAAGGGAATATCTAATTATCCGCGGTCTCCTGTCCCTAGTTAGATATCTATAATTAGTCCATTCGTCTTTCTATACTCAACTACCTGATCAGACGCCTATAATTACTCCATTCATCTTCTCGAATTAGACACCCGTTGAAGTCTCCACTTAGTCTTCTTTTGCTTCGTGTCACACGCTGCTGGTACAGTTTTATTGGAATTGTGTAATTCAGGTTTCGGAGCCATAACTCACCGCCGCTTAATGCTGAATTTTGGATACTTTGAAAGATTTGTGGAATTCAAATACAGTGGATGTAGAAAGTATTTGAACACTGATCAATTTCCAAAAGAACTATGTAAAATTGTAATTTATTAACTTATTTCTTTATAAACAATGACATTCTACATATCTCTACATATCACAAGAATAGATACAACATTACAACAAAATAGCTATTTATGTAAATTGCGATATTAACAAGAAAGAAACAATTAATCAATAGAAATGTTGAAGCATTAAGTATTTGCACAACTGTTTAATTTTTAAAACTTCATTTAAAAAAAAAAAGAAATTTACATTAATTTATAAGTATGTAATACTTCCTTCGTGTACGAAAAGATTACTTATTTTGTATAACTGAATATATAAGTATTATATCACTATAAGTATTATACTATATACTATAAGTAAATAAGTATTCGTACAAGTGTTAAATTTTTAAAACTTCATTTTAAAAAAAACGAAATTTGATTTTATAATTACTGCAACTCTTCTAGGCATTAAAGTAACTATCATAAATGTCGATGTTATTCTGGGTGGGATCTTCTTTCATTCCTTTATTAGAACATTTTTTAAGCCTTTTTATGGAAATTCAAGGTTTTCTAATTCGTACGGAGCAATAAACTAATGTGTTTATGCTACAAATTCTACTGTTCGCCATAAGAATGGTACAAATACTTATTGTTTCTATACTTTTACCCACTTTTCGCATTTTTTTTGTTAATTTCACAAATTATATTAACTAGCAAATGTTGTTTGGACTATATCTATCTTAGAGACTTCCGAGAATATGTAAAATATCATTGATTATAAAAAAAGAAGTTAAGAAACTACAATTTCACAGAAAAGTTTTTTGGGAAATTGATCGGTGTACGAATACATTCTACACCCACTGTATATTGAATTAGAACGAACAATTCTACAGTTCGATTAAATGAAAATTTCAATTAATGGAAAGTTTGAATGAAAATTTAAAGAAAAATCTAACAAGGAAACATATCCAACTGTCACACTCCGATTTTAATCAAATTTATGTGGTAGGTAGTTCTCAAAAAAATATGTGACACGTATTTTTTTATCGGCAATCGTCCATGTTGAAGGGGTGAAAAGAGCCCCTAAAGTTGGGGGTGAAAACCATGTTTTTTTAAATATCTAGAAAATTAGAGGAGCTAGGGCAAACGTTTTTTTTTAAATATGCGCTTTTGAATCGGTGATTTATGTATGCCAGAAGAAATTGTTTATTTGTTTATTTAAACAATTTATTTTTGAAAAAATGTTCTGTTTTGTTAATTTATGTTACTAAATATTGTTTCTCATTCATGGAAATTTATGTGTGTAAACTATAGGTTACAATTAAAGATACATGTTTTTGGAAGTTTTGTAATATTGAGAAATGTATATTATCTGATTATTTGAAGTCTTTAAAAAGATACATTCTTCTATCAAACTGTTCTACACCCACTGTATGAACTTTGGAAAATATGTTTATCCTTCGACTGTATCGCTTGAATTTCGTTACCGCGTCGTAATAAATATTTCAGGGATTCCAAGCGATACATCCGCTGTCCAAACAAAGACGTTTTTATTGTCGGCCCGTTTGGTACCGTTCCACTAATAAGAAACAGATGCAACAGGCAGATCACTGAAGCATATGAGCTTGGCTATTGCCTCTAACAGAATATAAAATAAAAAATTAACGTAACATAATGGCGGTGTTGTAAAAGAAGCTTTTCAATATTATTTTAACTTTAATCAATTCTTAGAGGGCTAAGAAAATAGGAGATTTGTAGATATATCGAGTCTAACAATGGCGGTAGACAAATATTTACCTTGCATGTAGACGAAATCTCATATCGATTCCGAGATATCGCATTGAGAGGCCTGATAAACGTTTAAGAAATTCAGTTTAAATACCTTTCATCATTTTTCCACATACTTCCAGAAAAATTCTTTGAACGAATGTTTTCTGGACATCCTTTTTCTTTCAAAAAGATTCTCGTAACACTCCTCCTTACCCTACTTCGCCTCCTTTCCTTCAGATTAATTCCGACTGGTAACAATGTACTGTGGGTGTAGAATGTATTCGTACACTGATCAATTTACAAATAACTTTTGTGTGAAAATGTAGTTTCTTAACTTTTTTTTTATAATAAATGATATTTTACATATTCTCGGAAATCTTTAAGATAGACATGGCCCAAACAACATTTACTAGTTAATATAATTTGTGAAATTAACAAAAACAAAAAAATGGCAAAAGTAGTTAAAAGTATAGAAGCAATAAGTGTTTGTACGATTCTTATGACGAACCATTCACAGTTGAGTTTGTAAACATTAGAAACATTAGAAAACATCAAATTTTCAGTAAAGTACTTTTAAAAAAGGCTCTAATAAAGGAATGGAAGAAGATCCCACTTCGAATAATTAATAATTTAGTTAATTTAAGTTTTAAAAATTAAACAGCTATGCGAATATTTATTGCTTCAATATTTCTATCGATTAATTCTTTTTTTCTTGTTAATTTCGCAATTTACATATATAGCTATTTTTTTGTACTCTATTTATTCTAGAGGTTTCCAAAAAAATATGTAAAATATCATTGATTATAAAAAAATAAGTTAATGAATTACAATTGTACATAGTTGTTTTTTGGAAATTGATCGGTGTATGAATACTTTCTACACTCACTGTATTTACTGTGGAAAACATGGCTCACAGTGAGTAAACTTCTCTATTTCAGAACAAATACGGCGTGGATAATTCCCAAACACAGGCTGTAGACGCTTTTCAATCTGGCCTTGGATGCTGCGGAGCTACTGGCCCAGCAGATTGGGCAGGAAGCAAATACGCCACCAAGGATCGCTCGATGCCTGTCAGCTTGACCGTATCCGATGACGGAAACAACATATACAAAGTACCCGAATCATGCTGCAAGGATAAAGACAGTACCGCTTGCAAATTATCTCAGAATATCAAAGTTGCCAGCGAAATTAATCCAGCAATTTACAACGAGGTAATCGCACTTGATTCTCTTAATTAAGTAATCTAATATCTCCATTAAGCTTCGTTAACGGCGAAGCAGTGAATCAGAACTGTATGAAATTAGTTTTTTAGAACAATAGGATTAAGTATTAGGTTAGTTCTGTAGGCTAGAGACTGTTGATCTGTTTTAGGTAAAGATAGAAAAAAATTGTTTATTAGAACGAATAGTTAAAAGACTCTACTAATGCAAGATTATCGTGCACCATACTTTATCGTACGAAAATAATTGTTTATTAGAATGAATAGATAAAGAACTCTATTAATGAAAGATTATTGTCCACCATACTTTAACATACTCTAATCTTTGATTGAACTTTTCAAATTCTACAAAGACTTCTTTCTGATTCACTTCGATATTTGCAAAAACAGTTACTGCATGCTTGCACCTCGAATAGTGATTAATAGACTGCGAATCTTTATGCATTTATAGGATGCATAATTTGAGTGTGCAGGAAACTACAAAATGCAAACAATATGCAAGATTATAAAAAAGATTGAAAGTAAAGTTCATGTTAGAATATTTGCAGAATAAAATAAATTCCTATTCAAGTTCAATTTTTGTATGCACGTTCGCAAAGATTTTATTTTGCATAAAGATCCGCAGTCTAGTGATTAAAATTGCACGAAGTAGACTCATCGTTGCTCTCGTGGAGCATAATATCGTGACTCGTGTGGTGGAATCACGCCTGGTTGAACTTGCTAATGCACCGATCGTCGTGAAAGCGTGGCCTCGATTAAATCTAACAAATCTTCTTTCCTGTAGGGTTGCATAGACAAGCTGATGGATGTACTGAACAGCCAGAAGAACGTCGTTATCGGCGTTACAGCTGGAGTCGGCATCTTGGAACTTCTTGGATTGATATTCTCCCTGGTGTTGTGCTGCGCGATCGGCTCTTCCGACAGATACAAGGCTTAAATCGAACACGCGTCCTGGACATCGATATAGAATCTTTCCTTACATCACATATCGTCGTGTCCCAGTCTTCTAAACAGGTAGCCGCGATTCGATCTCCGTGCCAATTCGAATAAGTCTTACACATCTCTGTCTCTACAGTTTAACTGAAACGAGAAAGAACGTTCTTAAGTCTGATCACTGAAATGTCAGGTAACTCGGACTGTCTTTAAGAGATGGACAAATTTCTTGTCTAGATAAAACTGTCTAATGAAAAATAAAAGATAAACATCTTAATTAGGAAATTCAATTATATTTTACTTTGAACGAATAAAAGCTAATGTAAGTTGAAAATACAGTGAGTGTAGAAAGTATTCATACACCGATCAATTTCCAAAAAACAACTATGTAAAATTGTAATTCATTAACTTATTTTTTTATAATCAATGATATTTTACATATTTTTTGGAAACCTCTAGAATAAATAGAGTACAAAAAAATAGCTATATATGTAAATTTCGAAATTAACAATAAAAAAAGAATTAATCGATAGAAATATTGAAGCAATAAATATTCGCATAGCTGTTTAATTTTTAAAACTTAAATTAACTAAATTATTAATTATTCGAAGTGGGATCTTCTTCCATTCCTTTATTAGAGCCTTTTTTAAAAGTACTTTACTGAAAATTTGATGTTTTCTAATGTTTCTAATGTTTACAAACTCAACTGTGAATGGTTCGTCATAAGAATCGTACAAACACTTATTGCTTCTATACTTTTAACTACTTTTGCCATTTTTTTGTTTTTGTTAATTTCACAAATTATATTAACTAGTAAATGTTGTTTGGGCCATGTCTATCTTAGAGATTTCCGAAAATATATAAAATATTATTGATAATAAAAAAAGAAGTTAATAAACTACAATTTCACAGAAAAGTTTCTTGGGAAATTGATCGGAGTACAAATACATTCTACACCCACTGTAAGTCACTATACAGTGTTTCCATTTGTCAATTGTTATTCGAATCAAATTTTGCCCATCTCTGTTTTAACCCTCTATAACTCGAATTAAGTTTGCTCTGTACAATGCGGATTTTTCAAAAGAAGGCAGCCTAGTTGTTCTTTCATAGAGGGTTAATCAGCCGAAATTAAATTTCTTGCATCGACAATGTCCCGATACAGTTTCAGTATTCATTAACGTATATTGTCCGAGTTTTGGATATTCTATTACGATTCTGCACAAAGAAAACGACAGTTTTTGTACCAACATATTATACACGTTTGTAATTTTCTTTTATATCGATATCTGTCCTTTTTTAAGCATATATTAGATGCTCACTGAGAGACCGAATTTATTTTTCATTGTATCGACATTTACAAAGTCAGAACAAAAATGTTCCCTTGAATTCGATATCGAAGGTGTTGTATAGGAACTAGATTTGTTTCTTACTGCCAGATGCACTTTTCGTCTACGTCTCCTTCCATGCTAAAGACTTACACGAACGAACATTTAATGTTTTACAGAGTACCTATATGATTTACATTTTTTGTTAGGCCAAAGTAGTAGACCAAACTAACGTTAATGTGTTAAAGAGAGTGAAAGAGTGGGAGTGGATGAGTTTTGAGATTTGTATGAATAACAAGGAACCGACAATTCTTCTTGTTGCAACTGGTATATTTGCAAGGGAACCGTGTACAGTTTTATTTAAGTATATTTTAGTCTCGTATTTCGTTCAACTAAATTTGTTCAGCTCTCTAAACTGCCATGCGATACTTACCGTTAAAATATTTTCTACGCGACAAATTGATATTACGTGTCATTTTTTATTCGCTTTTATTAAGAAAGAATACTCCTATGGTATAATTAAAATTATACTGTTCTGTTCCCCAAGTATACCAGTTCCAATACGCGTACATGCATCTATAGAAATAAATGAATATATATTAAAGATGCACCAAGAAGATGAATCTGATAATTAATAATATTGATGTCCAAATGAGATTATATTATTGTAAGAACGCTATCAAGAGGTTTCGTCTCTTGTGGCATTATAGTCTATCCATGTTATCTTTAAAGTAAAAGAGAGTGGCAAACTTTTAAGAGGGAGGACATAGCTAAACGGAAGCAACTAATTTTATAAGACTAACTCGTCATTATGAAAATTCGTGTGATCTATTTTATTGGTATTCGACGCTTTGAGGATGCAATATTTTTTTAAGAAAGTGTCCTGACTGGACAAAAATTATTTGGCAGCGAACGATTTCGGAACGGGAGCCTTTTGTTAGCATACTCGTGAAAGTTACGAAGAATAAAAATTTAACGACGTATTACAGAATCGCTGCTGTTAAGATGAAGATCTTCGTCCTTAAAGAGTTAAAATATTCTGGTAAAATGTATTTCGGTGTAACGAATAAGAGCTGCTTTTGGAATAGTTGTGTCTTATAGAAGTGATCGATATATATTTGACGGTGAATGTTTCATAGATTATCTATAACTGTAGCGAATGGGGCAGATATGTTTATTAATTGTTCTTCAAATATTCATCGTCAAATGATTTAGCATAGACTAAAGAGAAATGGATCTTTGCATATACTGTACCTTGGTAACGAGTATGGTACAAACAAAAATTGCTGAAATATTTGAATTCTCTTTCTTCATGAGTGTTCCAAATCAAAATGTACGGAGTAAAGACCATAGCTTCTAGTCTGTAAAGGTTGAATTCCTAATTTATCAGATTTATTTTGTTTTAAGATTAACATGTTCCTTTCCAGTTTCTTGATGCACCATTTGATTAAGAAAATAGCGCATTGTACGATCTTAAAGCTGTTTACGTAAATCAATTTTGGTAAAGCAAACTGTAAATGGCGAGCAACATGTTAAACAAACCGTTTTGCTGTAACATTATTATTTTACACGTGTCCCTTTTTGTACGTGATGCGAAGATAACACTGTACACTGTTCGTTGCACGTGTAAACAGTGTATATTGTAATTTTTATTAACCAGAAATTCTTGAGTTTACGTAGAAATTGAAATTCATTCCGTAGAAGTTAATCGATCGTATTTTACACGTGTTGCAATTAAATGTTTTCTAACTATTGTCTGTATTCGTTTGTGATCATAGCATTCAAGAAATTCTGGTTATGGACATAGATAATCATCTGTACGCATATATATATCTGATGTTATGTATGTAAAATAATACGATTTAAGGATATAGATGGGGAGGATATCGGGGAGAAAGAAAAGGAACGCCCGGCGAGCAACTTGCAAGGTGATAATTTGATCGCTATAATTAAGGGTTTTTATAGTTTTCAAACGTTAAGAAACTTTGCAAGTCGCAAAGTTATTTCGTCAATTATCATACGTTTGCGACGTATGTTAAGTTTTCTGTAAGATGAGTTCCAAAAATTTGTTCGACGTAGTCGATGTTTACGTGGTACTTTGTTACTGCTTGAACGATCTCCGCTCGAAAATTATTAGACTATAAGTTAACTCTTCGTAAGTGAATTAAGTACCAGTGAGCACAGGAATTTTCACTTTCCCGAACTGTATTTGTATATTGGGTTGTCCAAAAAGTTCGTGCCAATTTTTAAGAAAAATTCAAAGGCTCATTTGAAATTTGATATAAATTTATTGAATTATATTAGTATCATATTGTTCCACAAGCTTTCCACCTGTTAAGGGATGTACACATATTATTTGTTTTCAATTGTTTCAATATATTCATACCTGTACCACCCACCAAAAATCGGCATGGAGTTTCTAGACAAACCAATACTTTCATTTTTACAGAAGTTATGGAGTTTTTGAACCAACGAGAAAGATAAGATTTAAAGTTACAAACATTTTAAAGTTCAGTGGATGTAAAAAGTATTCGTACACCGATCAATTACAAAAAAAACTATGTAAAATTGTAATTTATTAACTTATTTTTTGTAAACAATGACATTCTACATATTTTTTCGAAATCCCTAGAATAGATAGAGTACAAACAAAATAGCTATTTATGTAAGTTACGAAATTAACAAAAAAAAAAAAACAATTTTTTTCCCCTGTCTGTTTTATGTTGAAGAAATGTTGAAACAATAAGTATTGGCACAACTGTTTAATCTTTAAAACTTAAATTAACTAAATTATAAGTTATTCGAAGTGGGATCTTCCATTCCTCTATTATAAAGCCTTTTTAAAAGTACTCTACTGGAAATTTGATGTTTTCTACTGTTTCTAATGTTTACAAACTCAACTGTCAATGGTTCGTCATAAGAATCGTACAAATACTTATTGCTTCTATACTTTTAACTACTTTTCGCATTTTTTTGTTAATTTCACAAATTATATTAACTAGTAAATGTTGTTTAGACTATGTCTATCTTAGAGATTTCCAAAAATATATCAAATATCATTGATAATAAAAAAAGAAGTTAATAAACTACAATTTCACACAAAAGTTTTTTGGGAAATTAATCGGAGTACAAATACATTCTACACCCACTGTATGTATATTAAAGATTACTATGTTATTTGAAGAAAATTTTAAACTAAGGTCCAAAGCTAAATAGGTTGATACCTAAAATGTTCCAAATGATTAATAGATGATTGTGTCGTTCAGTTACCGAATTTTACGATATCTTTAAATAACATTCTTACTGTATTTCATGCGCTGCGATATTAATACAACTCAATTGCACTTTGTTTTACAAAAATAGGGAATCTCTAAGAAGCTAAGAACTAACAAATGTGATCGCTATTACACACGCATTGTCTTTGTACAAGTATGTTGATTCGCGTAAATTACGTAGGTTTTGTGCTTGCACGATTTATCTTACAGAAAGAACGAAACAATACGAGCGATGGTTAGATTTTGCGAGGAAAACACGTACAAGAAAAAAGAAAATGATATATTTGAAAACTGTTTGGAAATATGAGTTTAGCGTCTGTTGCATGGATGTTATAAAAAAAAAAGAAAAGTAAATTCTAGTATATTCACAAAGTACATGAGACATCATCACTCGTATAATGTTCTTCGTTTTGATATTAATATATTTATATACACTTACATAAACATATATATATACATGTATATACATATTTTCTTACTGATTTTTGAGCAAAATATTTTCATTGTCACTGATTTCATCGTCAATTCTTTTTGAACATGCTTATACCCATCTTACATTATATCTTTTGCCAAAACGAAACAGTATGGTCCGCCGACTATAACATAATTCTGTAATCTGTTAAATATTAAGATTATGTAATAAAATTAATTTTTTCGGATTATCTGTAGGAGGTCCACTCTGTCCTGTGCACTTTTCAATATTTACGCAATAATTGAACGCTATCTTATTTGGCATATTTTACGAATTTAAAAAAAAACAGAACAAAACACTACACATCTAACATCCATATACACGATTTCCAAGTGTACGTTTATTTGCAACTTATGTATGATACGCAAGTAAATGTTACAAAAAAAAAAGATGTTCAAAGAGTTCAATATACATTTAACGTAATCATTGCAAGTTATATTTACCCTCATATCCAATTCTCGATCCTTAACAGTTCAACAAAGTTACATCTCAAAGTTAAACCTGCTACATATTTTATTATGCTAACCAATCAGCCTTAAGTAATGGATGGTATGTATCATTGTCCCAGACAAATAAGCAGTACGTTAATTGTTAATAATTATCCTTTATTATTCATGAAATTCATTTTAATCATATATTTCCGTATACAGGGTATCCAAAAACTCGCGTAAGAGCCGGAAATGGGAGGTAGCAGAGACGATTTTGAACAACAATTTCCTTTGCAAAAATGTCGGTGGGAGCTTCGTTTTTGAATTATTAACGAAAAACACCGACCAATCACAGCGCCCGATTAGCGCGCGCTCAGGTGGGTCAACAGTCCTGGCTCGAACTTATGCTCTCGCGACATTTTTGCAAAGGAAAAAGTTGTTCAGAATCGTCTCAGCTACCCCCTTCTCCTTCCGGTTCTTACACTAATTTTGGGACACCCTGTATAACAGCCACGGACATAGGAATATACAGGGTGTCCCAAAAATGTTTGTAACACATTGAAAGAGGTGGTTCGGGAGGTGATTTGAAACAACTTTTTCCTTAGCGAAAATGTTGTCCGAGGCTTCGTTGAGCAGATATTAACGGAAAACGTCGACCAATCAGAGCGCGTGGATACCGGTGAAGCGGCCGCGCTTGTATGCGAACAAGTGACTCAACGTGCATCGAAGGCCATTGACGTGGTGTGGTATGAAGCCAAGGTAGAGGGTCGTCGGTCATCTTACGTTGCCAATTTACAGCGCGAAGTTTGAATAGGACTATAATTAAAAAATATGGTTATACGTTTGAAAATAAATTTTTAGAATTTCAACATTTTGAAAATCTAATTTTTTGTTATGGTTTGTTACTGTTTGTAATCTCCCAATGGTTACAATGTATTTATGACTATCTCTTTAAAAACTGCTCGAATAATTAAGCAAATATTTTACATATGAGTGTGATTTTTTAAGGAGGTTTGGTCAAAAATGATAACAGTTCAGATCGTCCAATAACTCTTACAACTTAAAATTTACATCTTACATATAATGTACACATCTGTGTGAAATTTGAGTTCAATTTACCGTTTAGTTTGCTAAATATGATCACTTGAATTTCGTGACTTTTCGTCGCATTTGCCAGGAGACTTATGGCAGCCGATGGAAAAAGAAATTTGGTATGACACTTTAGACTGTATAAAATAATTTTTTGGAAAAAAAATTTAACCGACTTCAAAAAAAGGTACAGTGAAAAGTATGAAATAATTTCTAGTTAATGTATATGAATACGCACTAGCTCTAGAAATAATTGCTTAAAAGTATGGGAAAATGCAGTGATAAGTGTGAAATAATTTCTATTTAAACTGCATTGTTATTCACCATCGTTTGATGAATTTGGTTAAATTATTAAATACATTATATTAAATGCAATGCACCTTTTTTGAAGTCGGTTAAATTTTTTTTCCAAAAAATTATTTAATTTCACTCTTTTTAGTGGCAATCTATAACCAATAGGTTCCATGCAATAACAACAGTTATGAGCAATATACAGGATGACCCAAAAAAGTTGGAGGTCCTTGAAAAGACTTGTTCCGCAGGGAAGGGGGGGCTTGAAACAATTTTTCCTTAGCGAAAATGTTGCTCGAGGCTTCGTTAAGGAGATATTTTGACAGAAACAGAAACTCCCGACCAATCAGAGCGCGAGTATGCCGGAGTACGCTCCACCGGCATACTCGCGCTCTGATTGGTCGGGGTTTTCTGTCAAAATGTCTCCCTGACGAAGCCTCGAACAACATTTTCATTAGGAAAAAATTGTTTCAAACCCCCGCCCGAAAAACCCCATTCAAGGACATTCAACATTTTTTGGACACCCTGTATAATTGCAAATGGGATTATCAGGAATACATCTGCAACTACATGCGAAAGGATTGATTGCGTTTGGTAAATTCCTTGTCGAGCTGCACCAGAGCATAGCAATTTCGCACCAACAATGGTTTTATAAACAATAAAAGTGTCCATAAATTTTTGCAAATGGTAACATCACGAATTCATCTATCATGAAATGCGGAAGATTCCATCGAGCTCGGTAATTTCCTCACCGAGTTACATCATAGAATAGGAATTTTGCGATAACAATAGTTATAAACAATACAGAAATTCATTAATGTTTGCATCTGTGATCATTACGAAAACCTCTCCGGCAGTAAAATGTAAGGGGTTTCATCGATTTCATCGGTTTCAGGCCAAACATACGTGAAATAGTACGCTTTTTGCGATAAAAAGTGATATAAAGTGGTAAAAATAACACAAGGACAAATGTTTTGCTATGGGGCCAAATGGCAAATGCTCTTCCAAAAAGTTTCAATCCGATT